TTGTTTGTTTTTGTTCTATTTTACCATAGAAGCGGCTTAAGGTAACTTTTGTGTGCGTCCAGTTTAGCACGTTGAAAATACAAGTTAGTGATCTCCTGGAAACCATAAAAAATAATTTTTAGCTCGCTGTTGCTGATTTCCAATTAGTTTAACTTGGTCCCACTAATCTTCTTTTTTTCTGGTTTAAATGGGGTAAAAATTCAGGTTAATTCGTTCCAGAAACCCAACATGACCCTTAACCCTTCATACATTACAAAAGAGAAAAATGATTCTCAACCCTTTTTTTGTTTTGTTTTAGGGCTTCCTGATTTTCGTGCTGCATTGTGTGCGAAACACCCAGGTGAGATGAATTTTGAAAAACATTTTATCTTTTTTTTTAATTTTTTGCAGTTTTTTCTTAATTATGTGCAGTTAAAATTTTTCCGCTTTTCCACCCTCAGATTCAAGAGCGATTCAAACGAAAGCTGAACACTGTTTTTCCATCTGTATATACTAAAGACTCCGCAATGAAGGGCTCGCAAACTAATCCAAGTGCTGTCGAAGATATAGGGGCGGCCGAATTGCAGTCTTGCGATGAATTTGAACTGAAATAAAATTTAAATAACTGGACTGAGCGGGCTGAAACTAATCATCGAATGTTTGATACGATCGTCAGGTTTGATATGTCAGGTCGCTCTATTCGCTTCGAGTTACGAGCTCATCGTAATGTTCATGATTGTATTTTAAAGATGTTTAAGGCTATTTTGAATGTGCCCTCGTTTCATGCCCTTTTAGGTCGTAGTTTTCCGTGAACAGCATTTTATTTGACTCTCGCAATCGTTTCAGTTTTAGATCATCAGTTATTTATTTGTTTCGTTATTTTGAAATCCTCTGTGCCAAATGTTTGCTATTATTGAACGACGACGCAGTCTCCCCTTTTGATATTCGGAGTAAACACAGGGTTACTTGTCAAATAGCTTTTTTGTTATTGTAATAAAAACAGCTGTGGAAAAAACTTTAAGCTAATAAAGATCTTAATGGATTAATAGATAAATCAATAAAGTAATAAATGACGGATTACGTCTATTGTGAAACTTTTTTATCCGAACAATGAAGTTTTTTTATTAAATCTCTGAAATAAGGGTTACTTTTTCGAATCGCAAATGTTGCGAAAACGACTAGTAGCATCATTGATTGCCATGAAAACTGACCGGTTTGGGGTCAGTCTTAGGGCCCTAACGTTAAGCACATATCTACACATAAACTTCTGTGTTAGGGCAACGATAGACTTAAGCAGCGGTTCTGAAATAAGTGAATAAATTACCAAAATGGCAGTAATTTACAATGATAACAAATAAGGTAAATGAATTTCGAAAGATAAAAGGACAACAAGAACACACCTGGCAGTTAGGATACGTGAATGAAACGACATTGAGACTCCTTGGGAAAAAAAAATTCGACTACATGGTGCGGAAAATTATATCAAAATGCTAACGCCGCGCAGAGATTGGAAACTAGGAAGCCGCTAAAAAGACTTTGCAACAGCACGAAAATCTGAGCGAATCACGGCTTTTCAACATTTTCCCTTTACCTAGAACGCTTGATCAGCTTGGAAAACACAAATATATCTTGGTGAAGTAGAAAACGGAAAAGCGGCTGCACCTCTCGTTGAACCGTCCTTAAATCATAAATCATAAATCACGTCCTAAAATAAAAAACCAATAAATTTCGCGTCGAGAAATGGTTGCCACGTTCAGCATCTTGTTATATATGCTTTTTCTCTGTGTATGAAGACATAAATATACAACTCAAAACAGAAGAGTAAGGTGTTGATAATAATGGTCTCCAACACTTGGCATTATTTTGGCAGGGAAACATTTTTCAACCGTCCTAAATGATTTTTTGTAAGACAAAATAAATCATGAGGCTTTTTAGCTTAACTCCTATTTTGACCTAACTGTTGAAAAATACATTTGCTGACATTGATTTTTATCTCTCTTTGACCCAACCATAGGAAAAAACGGAAAGAATTTCATTTTTGTTGTTTTCCTCTTAAAAGATCTCCCCTCTAAAGTCTTCGACCACTATAATTTCATTGACTGAATAAATAACTTTTACAATTAGTGTATACTAAAGAGGAAAAAAAATTATGGATTGATTAAAACTGGGCTTCCGTCAATTGTTGAGGTATGTAGGCTCAGTATTGCTCATTATTACTCATTATTTCTTCGGCACTGATGGGCGCAGCCCGCAGGTCTTAAGCCGGCAAGCGTTGGGAACGAGCGAGATGTTCGTGAGCGTTCTGAGAGAGTATGACATTGAGTATGTCATACTCAAGTATGAGCGCTCATATCGAGTATGAGAGACCCCTTGGAGACCTTTCGCGTACTCGCTCGGGCTGCTGCTCAAATGAGAGATAACTGGCAGGCTTAGTTTTTTTCTTCTGCCACAGCTTTTTTGGTACTTTTCTCTTGGTTTGATTTAGAAAGTCCGGCGAGGTATGTATAAACTCCGTGATGTGGCCAGCGCGTTCACACGTCACAAGTTGCTTGGAATATCAAGATGAAATATTCTATGAATTCTCCCAACCTCCCTTGCGTTTCGATGATGCTATGTTAACAAGAAATAAAGTCTTCAATGGTGAAAGTTTGATGCGTGGAATGGAAAGAAAGATCTGGCAATAGACACCAAGGAGTCGATACCGTTTTAAAGAAGAGGTTTTTTTCATTGCTTATAAAATCGTTTTATTAAATGGCTGAGGAAGAATAAAAGGCGATAATTAGCATACGTATTGAATCGAAAGATAAATTTTAATACTCCCCGTTGACGTGTCACATAATATTTTAAACCTTAGGCTATGCATTTTGCTTGGCACGATAATGACGATCTTGTACCATGCTGTAAAAATTGATTAAGGTCAGTTTGATTAATGTTTTTTACAAAATTGCTTCAAGTCTTTTTTTTTTTTTTTTTTTTTTTTTTTTGCTACAGTCTTAAGCGGGTGCAAAAGACCAAAATAACTAATTCTTATGGAAAGACACGATGTCAGTATCGTGAATGACAGTAGATTTTCCCACCTTAATCAACCATAAACAGCTGGTTCTGACTCAAACCAACACAAGCTGCAAACCCCATCCTTTTAACAAGATACTCGTCACTTTAACTACAAATTGTTATTATCCTCTTGTGGGGAAGTATTGGTATGATTTTTAGCGTATACAAACTTGGGAAGATAGTATCGCTTCCTTGAGCGCGTGCTAACAGGAATCAGACTAAGTACATCATGATGAAAAATTGCCAAAAATGCTCAACAACTTTAGTGTGAATGACTTTGTCGAGTCAATATAAACGTTGTTCATGAAAGATTGATTTTTTTTCAATCAGAAACATAAGCATTTTTAATGCGCATCTATCAAGTGCTCTAACGAGTAATCACTTTATGAATATGTTTAATACGATCAGTTGCATTGTACAAACACTATTTTAACATAGTGCGGGTGCATGTCCTATCTTATTCCTGAGGAGTTACAATGGTATAAACTCTATTCACCTACGACCATGCATTTATAACATCACGTGTGCAGTTTCACTTCAGCTGCAAGTTCCCGTCGATTTGTTTGTTTCTGTGTTTGATGGAAACATGATTTCGTGCAGACTTACATATGGGATACCCGCAATAGTTCCCGCTGGGAAAATGGTTAATTCCTAAAAGCGACTATCGTTAAACGAGATCCCTGATTAAGTTTTCATTATTTAAAAACATGATTTATCAATTCATTATTATTTTCACGTTAACAGAACTTCAGGTTAAAAAAGTGATTTTCATTATAGTAAAGTAGTATCGTTTGTTTCACGATGTGGTAACTTATGATGTGAATCGCAACGTTTCAGCTGCATTCTGTTGGTCTTCATCAGGTGATAGGGTCGACTGGTTCGGGTGTTGTCATAAGGCAGGATGCTCCGACGTAATTGATTGGTTTTTCCACAGCTGCAATTAGCGTGTTTTGATCCTCGATGTTATTGAGTTAAGTTTTACATAGTAGATAATATCTCAGAGCCAACATATCAGATCCAGATAATCGCTGGAAATGTTGGAATTTGTTCAAATTTTATTTAATAACGACTATAATAGCGTGTTTTCCTTTTTTTTTTTTCGCAATTCTTGCCCCACTTCTTGTCTATCATAAAAACATCTGTGTAGATATATAGATCATCAAAAGTGGCAAATTACGTCACACCTAACACATCTTGTCCGCAGGAAGAAGAGGGTTGAGCACTTTATCGTTGAAATAAAAGCAACGGAAGGGAGGGAAATTGCACAGCCGATTTGCTTATCGGTATCTTGAAAATAAGGCTCGCGCAGGATCACTTAGTCCTGTTAAAGGTTCCCTTTCCTTCCGTGTTAAATTATGTTGCGATCAAAATCTCCTGTATTGGGCAGAATGTAATTTAATATCTGACATTAGCTTAAATTCCAATTTTTTTTTTGTTGAACCACGCGCTACGTAAATTTTCTAAGGCCGTCATGCGCTTGCCGAGCGCTCTTTACATATGAATGTAGTGTTCAGTACACGCGCATGTAGCTGAAAAAATAGGCAGGGTTTTTCTATGGCAACTTAGCGTAATCATTCTGCAAAGATATGAACTCAGTCATTACACAATGTGCACTAAAGGAGAAGTTATGCAGTGAGAGAAAGGAAATGATGCAGGTTTAGGGCTCAACTATTTCCCGCCGACCGCACTTCGTTTTCTGATCCGTTAACGGATCGATGATGATCAACTTCAAAGACCCAGTAAAACTCACATCGAGCAGGTGATCTAACTAAACGGAGAATATATATTTATATGTATTTTTCAACCTGAGAAATTCTGTAGTTCATTTGCATTCTTACACTTGCCCGAACATATTACTAAATCATTCCTGCCTTCGGAGTCAATATTATGCGGGCCTAAAACACACACTCTTATCTTCTGACGGATCGATGACAGTTATATCTGTTCGGGTGCACGTAGATGAACAGATGGCATATTTACGCTAGTTTCCGGTGGACATAATATTTTTTCCCAAATAACGACTACCTATGAAAGTGGATCCTCATTAGTTTTGAGTTGTTTACAATTTTTTCAAACACCCATTTTCATATCCACGTTAAGAAAACTTTAGCTTGATGAAGCTATTTTCGTGTCGTGGATCACTTGCATCTGTTAAGTAAAACAGCATTCTGCATCTGGTGTAAAGAGCTTTTAGTTTTATTGGTCCGTTTACGAGTGGAAAAATAGAACTCTCGCGGCTTATGTCAGCAAAAGCGGTCGAATGTGATGTTTATTACGCTCACGTCCTATAAAATAGTTTAAAAAACGTGGACTAAAATCGGCTGCTCTTGTGATTTTACCAAGTCACGGACCATTATAAGGGTGCCGACATACACTAACGGCAACTTTTGATTGAGTAAGTTGATGGGTGGTGCGATGAGAGGGATTCAATCCAGCAAAATGTCCACAGCCCTGTCTTTACGTTGTGCGCTGAGTAAGTACAAGCTTTACTACTTCTCTTGGTTATGCTTTAGAAACAAAGAAGACAATGAATTTAAAAATGCATTAGGGAATAAATGAT